CCCGGGTGGTCTCTGAGGCTTGGCAGGTGCCCTGGAGACGTTTCATGACCCAACTAGGGAACGACATCAGAGCACTGGAGGTGTTACCCGGTTTGAAGCGTCTGCAAGGAAACCACCCGGCTCAGAGAGCACCGAGGCCCCACAGTTCACCTCAGGCAGGGAAGCCAGCGGGTCGCTTAGCCCAACCAACCTCACAGGGTTGTTGTGCTGGGGCAGCTTAGGAAAGGAGGGAGGATTTGGTGGGTTTGCTGCCTCCAGTACCTTATAAAGTGAGACACAAATAAACAAACACGTCATGTTGCAATGACGCCCCATTCTCCTGCGAGCCTTTCCCGCCTGTCCAGAGGGGGCACCAGGACACGGGCCGTGCGTGCATGCGTGCGGGGGTCGGTGGGGCTCTCACCCAGCTTCCTACGCTCCAGGAGCTCCTCGGCTGATTGGGCCAAGCCCTGAAGACGAAGCAGCCGGCGGTGGAAGTCCTCCTCGGGGACCAGGGAGCTGCAGGTCCCCCCTGAGCAGCGGAGGGTGCCTCTCCCCTAGGAAGAGCAGGAACACGTTGGGGGGAAGGCCGGCCGGCTCCCTGGCCAAGCGCTGCCCACGGCCAGGCGGACGGGCGCTCTGTGGCTGGCACCCACCCAACACGCCTGGGCCCGCGGGGTGGGCATTCTCACCTGCATAGGCCTCTGGCAGGCTGGGCAGCGGAAGAGGCCGGCCTCGGGGGCAGAGGGGGCACCGCTGGGCTGCAGCTCCTCCAAGCAGGCCTGACAGTGGCACTCAAAGAAGTACTGAGCCAGGAGCTGCCTGCGCCTCTCGGCAGCCCCCATCCGGCACCTGTGGGGCCCTGCGGGAAAGGGGGGGGGACAGAGGCAAGAGGGGAGCGGTCAGCCTGCAAGGGGGGCAGGGAGCTTTCCCAAAAGCCCTGAAGGTGGGGGTTCTGCCGGTGGGCCTGGGACACCAAGCGGCTGCCCTGGTTGTTGTCGCTGGGGTGTGCGTGTGTGTGTGTAGATGGGGGGTTATTGGGGTTTGTGTTGTCGCTGTAAACTGCCAAGAGTCACCGCAAATGGGTGTACTGGGCAGCCGTGTCAATTTTCCTAATTTAATTTCCTATTTTTCCTAGATGTTAATCAATAAAACCAGGGAATATTCCTGCCAGGAATATTAATCCAGTATCAGGCCCGCAGTTGGCTCCTCCACAGGCGTTTACCTGGGCTCCCGATCCTTAAAAATAATCATGATCTGCCCCCAGAAAGAAATCCTATCAACTGGCCAGGTAGGAGAACCGCTCTGCAGCGTTATAACCCCGGGGACGGACGGGAGGCGGCAATCATCACCAACTGGGGCCCAATTTCAGCCAGGGAGGCAGAGCGGAGGGCGGCCAACGCACATCCGGAGAATGCTGGCACGATAGACAACCGTCGCTCCAATTCCACAATTGTAAAACCACAGCCGGGATGTCACTTTTGGTGCCCCAAGATCAGATTCCCAGTTGCCGCAGTGTGATGTTCCCGGGGTCCCCAAAAACCTTTGAGGAAGAACACCCCCCGCCCTTCCAGGTTTCCAGGTGCCGTCGCAAAACCTCTCCAGTGGGGAGGAAGAGGGAAGGCGAACGGAGGGGGGGGGCGTTTCCACCTGACCCAGGTTGCTCCTAGATGGTGAGAAGGCTGGCTCTCCTCTCGGGCCCCCGTGGCCTGGTCACCTCCCCAACAGGCTGCTCCGGGGCTGCCCTTGGAGACAGCTGGCGCTCCCAGGGCCCCAAGACCTGCCCACGCCATTCCTCGGCTGGGTTTCCTGCCAGGTCCCTCTCAGGGGGCTGCTTAGGGCCTTGGAAGCCCCACCTGGGACCCACGGGATCTGGCCATCCGAGGGTCTGCCTCTGCCCAATGACCTCGACTTCCCCGGGCAGCGCTGTCAGGAAGAGGCATTGTGGGGGGCGTTTCCTCAGCCAAGGAGCCCCACTTGGCTGCAACAACCCTGCCGGCCCTCTGGGCCCCCGCTGCTTCTGCCCACAGGACTGGGGGTCCCCTGGAAGTGGGGAACCTGTAAAAATGGCTGTGCTGCGTCTAACTGTAGAGACCTCACACTCCCCTTCTTTCTTCTTCTTTTTCTTCTATTATTATTATTGTTGTTATATTGTTATTGCTATTACTGGCTTCGAAATGGTTTCTCGCTGGCTTCCAACGGATGTTAAGCTTGTGCTTCCATCATGTACGCTGCCCAGAGCCCCACGCAGGCGAGCGGACGGCTGCCCAGATTCAGTTACAAACGGCTGAATGAGCCAAGAGCTTCATGAAAGCCTCGGACCAGCCCCTCCCTGGGTCAACCCCCCCCCCCCAAGAGAAAGTGGGAACGGAAGAGCTTCCCCACCAACGGGGCCTCGGGAGGCCTGCAGGGCCGGCACCCACTCACCGTAGCAGTGGAGCAGCTCCTGCCCGAGGGGAACGGGGCGCAGGGCCCTGACCTCCACCGTGCAGCCGTTGAAAGCCACGCTGGTGTTGGGGTCGCAGGAGTGGTTCAGAAGGCTGAGGGCTGGGAAGAAGCCCGTGGCCAGGCGCACCTGCCCACTGCCGGCCACCAGCCCATCTTCGGGTCCTGGGAAGAAAAGAGCAAAACTGAAGGCCGAGGGGCCCAGTGGAACCCGCCCCCCCCCACAAGGCCGCCTCCACTGACCTGACGGACGCAGGGTGGTCACCGCCTGGCCGTTGCACTGCAGCTGCAGGACGTGGCGCAGCATGGCCTCCCCCAAGACCTCCAGCGCATTGGGGGCCGCCTCTGACTTCGGGGGGCCCCCTGCCATCCAGGCTTCCAGGCCGGCGTCCTCCAGCGCCCTGCACAAGGCTGCCACGCTCAGCCCACAGAGGAACCTGAAGCCGGGGCTGTGCTGCTCCGTGTGCGGCAGAAGGCTGAAGATGGCCCGGTAGGAGCCGCTGTACCGTCCGTCGGCCTCACAGCCAGGAACGGGCCAGGTGCCCCCCTCCTGCGACTGGGCGACCGAGGCCTCCACCTGGGCGAAGCCGGCCACCAGCACCGTCCGGAAGGCCAGGTGGCAGAAGACGCCCAGCGCCAGCAGCAGCCCCCCCAGGGCGCATTCCGCCCAGTGATAGCCACTCCACGCCAGCTGGGCACAGGCGGGGCTGCAGTACCTGCTGTAGCTGCACCCTCGGCAGGGCACGGAGGCCAGCAGCGGGCACAGACAGTGGTGGCAGTGGAGGTCGGGGTTGGCTGGCTGTCCGTCCTGCAGGGCCTGGGCGGTCCCTTCCAGCAGGAGGCTCTGCCCGGGACAGAGGACGCTGGCGAAGGCCGCTTCCCTCACCAGTAGCTTCCCAGGAGGAAGATCCTTGGCAGCAACCAAGTGGCGCCCTTTGCAGCCGGAAAAGCCCAGGCTGACGGCCACCGAGGCGCCAGAGACGCGGCCGCTCTCCTCCCAGGGCTCCGGGTCTGGTGGAGGCTGGCCGGGCGCAGGAGGCGGGCGAAGGGAGGCCCCGCTCTCCTCACCGGCTCCGCCCCGCAGCTCATCCAGCCGGCCCAGCAGCACCCGGTGACGGGCAGCCTCCAGCCTCTGATCCGCAGAGAGGCGCTCCCGCACGCTGCAGAGGGCGCCTGCCGCTTCCTGCAGCCGGCCCAAAGAGAGCAGGCACTCGGCCCTGCGCAGCTGGATCTTGGGCAGCAGCTTCTCCGGGCAGCTGCCCACCTGCTGCGCCCGTCCGATGTCCTCCAGGCAGACCTGCAGAGAGGAGGAAGTCAGGGGTGCCGTTTCCAGAGGCTCCCTTGGCCGGCCATGCGGGGGTGGGTGGGATGCCTGCCCGAGAACGGTTTCCTCCTCCAGCCCTGACCCTCCCCTTGGAGGGAGCGACGGACGGCGGGCAAGGCAAGGGCTGGGTGGCTTGGCACGAGGTCTGCTGGGCATCGCCTCCTTATCCCCACTTATGGGCAAGTCCTCGGCTTAAAACCACTTGTTTAGCGACCGTTCAAACTCACACTGGCACCAAAAAAAGGGACTTACAATCAGCGCCCGCACAGCTGTTGCGATACCCCGTGGCCACGTGATCAAATGCCGTGACGGTGGCAGCACTCCAGGCTCTCACAACTGGGCCATGAGCTCCTCAGAGCCAGACCGCCCCCCCCCCCCCCCCCCCCCCCCCCCCCCCCCCCCCCCCC